GCAATTATCAACCTGGATTATACCTTTAAATTATCATCATTGCTACTGTTGTACGGTGTAAGGTGTCTTTGACAATTATCTGTAAATTATACTTTTAATTGCAACCATTTTTTATTTTGTTATCCTACCCGAGGCAATTATAAACCAGAAACATACCATAAATTATCATTCTTTATCATTCTTCTGTAATATAATCTACTTGTGTGAACTACCAAAGATTTTTATCATTATGAATTATAGAGTAAGCAATAATTTTTGGGTCAATTAACATCGATGAAGAATAATTCCTGTTCTGTTTTATTATCATTATTATTATTATTATTATTATTATTATTATTATTATTATTATTATCACATCCCTCCATACACCTGTCAGTCCTGTTCGACACGGCCTACTGTATACCTGTGGCAATTATCATTAGGCATAATATCTCACACGATAACAGACCAGCCATAACCGATGACCCACTTAAAGTAATGGACTCTACCTATTATAATTATGACTACGAATTGCATATTAAATGATAATCAAATAATTACAACCAACGCCCCTCTTCTTGCGATATTACCCACCTGTTGCAATTAACGCTGGCAATTATAGTCTGAATTATCACAAATGACTCTCCTTTACCCGTGTCGTAATTTTAGAGTGATTATCGACCTTCTGAGGTATTAAATTAAGGCTGAGTCTCGTTCGTTGTCAGGCCTTGTAGCAGAGACGTTAATGGAAAAAATATATATTTTTTTTTTGTAAGGTTTGATGTTGTTTGATATACAGTGAGTAAGAGAAAGGGGGATAGATAGATAGATGGAGACAGATATACAGACAGGTAGATATAAGGGTAGACGATAAGTACAGATATTAAGGCAGAGAGAGAGAGAGAGAGGCAAAATTACATATATATTTTTCCCTGCAAAATCCATCATCCATCCTTCTTTTTACTCTTCCTTCTCCACTTCCTCCACCCCCATTTCCTACTCTTCCATCTCTCCCTCCATCACCACCACCTCCTCTTCCTTTCCTCCAACTCTTCTACCATCCCCCACCTCCCCCACCCCCCTCCACTACTCCCTCCTCCTCCTCCTCATTCTCACACCCATGTTGACCACTGCAACTGGGGGTCATTATCGTGTAGAATCTAATGAGGTTATCGGATGTAGCTGGTAGTGTGTTGTGTGGGGCGTCGTTGTCGGGGTAATAAAATGATTATCACGGATGTTTGGAGTCACCTGCCACCTGGACTCGGAGTTTCATGTGTTTTTAATAGCTCTGTCGGGCCGCCACATGCTATACGAAGGACGGACGAACTAACGGACGGACGGACGGATGAACGGACGGAAGGACGGACGGACGGGCGGACGAGAGTATTTTTAGGGGAGGAAATATTCGAAAGGAAAGAAGAAGAATAAAGGTGAGGGGATATGAAGAGAAGAAGAGGGGAAAGAAATGGAGGAAAGGGAAAATGTGAGGCATGTGAAAAGAAGAGAGGAGAGGAAGATAATTTTGGGAGATGTAACGAGGAAAAAGGAAAGGAAGATAAATATAGGATGTGAAGAGAAGAGAGAGGAGAAGAGTGGAGACGAGGATTAATACTATACTCAGACGAAGTGGTAGAAAGAGGAAGAGGAGAGGAGAGATAGAGAGGATCAGGAGGACAAATGGTGTAACAGATGAAGAGAGAGGAAGAGGGGAATTTATTAATGGAAGAGAAGAGAGGAAGAGAGAATTAGGTGAAGAAGGAGGAGATAGGAAGAGGATTTTTGAGTAAAGATGAAGGAGAGAGGAAATTAGAAGAGAAGAACTGGTGAAGGAGAGAGAGAGAGAGATCAAGGATTAATAGAGAATTGAAGATAAAGTATAAAGAATCTAACCCCTTTTCCCCAACCCCACACTACCGTCTTCAACCTCTCTCCAGCCTCCTCCATCCCCATCCACATATCCATCCACTTACCAAATATCCCTCCCCAACTCTCCCACCAACCAACCGCCACCCACACCCCCCTCCCCCCTTGAGGAAATAACAATAACAATGAACTAATCTGGTAGTTTAGAAAAAAAAAACACGTAACGCCTCCCTGTGTAAATAAAACCATTTACAACTTGGGGTAAACCACGTCGGCGGCCGTTGTAAGTGTGAAAAGGCCATAAAAGTATAATACCATGTTGTAAATTATCCCTCACTCTGTGTACTCTTAATTAGCGAACAGCCTGCTATAAATTACACATGCACACACACACACACACACACACACACACACACACTGAATGAAAACAAGATAGGGAGAGAAAGAGAAAGATTCACTGGTAGGAAAACAGCACAAGAGCGAGAGATGAGAGAGAGAGAGAGAGTGTGAGAAAAATGGAGAGAGGAGGATACATAAACACTTGTGAATTTTATTACCTTATAAAAACAGGTAATTTGTTCTCACCTTGTGTGCGCGCGCGTATATGTGGTGTGTGTGTGTGTGTGTGTGTGTGTGTGTGTGTGTGTGTTTTATGGGTAAAACTGGAGGCGGTGTGACGCCCTAGGGATGATCTTATCTTAATTACGGCTGACAGATAAGGTAACGAGTCTTTTAATGCTTGATATCATTAGTACCTGTGTTTTGTTAAGTGTGTGTGTGTGTGTGTGTGGGAGTGTTTAAGTATTGGTGCGTGTATGTGTGTACGTATTTATTTGTGTGTGTGTGTATGTTTATATCCATGTACTATATTTTGTCCCTAAAAATAATCATACACACCTGTCAAGATCATACAACACACATCTAAATAAATAAATAAATAAATAAAACTCAAAAGAAAAATTTGCTTGAAAATAACTCCATATAAGAATGAAGACCAAGTAACTGAAGCATCTATACCGTCAACAACACAAACAATAACCACAAACAACACCACAACAACACAAACAATCACATCAATAACCACAAACAACCACACTAACCACAACATCAATCAAAAATAGTGTACCTGTATATTCAACCAACTAGTTCTCCACACATTAAACTCTGGCAGTAATAGAGATAAGATGGTCCTTATATTGGGGAGAAAAATTGGGTTGGGTTTGACTAATAGCTGGTTGATTTCCCATGACGGCGATATTAGTATTATTTATTTATTTATTTTTATTTTTTGGTGTGTTGGGATCAAAATAATATTCGTCATTGTTGTTAATTCTTCTTGTTTCTTCAGTATGATGTGTGTGTGTGTGTGTGTGTGTGTGTGTGTGTGTGTGTGTGTGTCATAATCATTCGTAACACCAAAAATAAGATAAACCTCGATACCTCCTCACTTCTAGACCTTAAAAAGAAACCTAATCTACCGAACTTTGTAATCGAAATCAGAAACACTTAATTTCGTCATCATTTCTCGACGCCTCATAAAACTCACAGGAAATTCACCGTCACTGTCTGCGGTTGAGGGATAGCACTTTCTTCTCCCAGAGAGTCATAATGTCAATATGTGTCAACTTCAATGAATATTCAAAATTCACTCGGTTCTTGTCGCTTTTTTTTATGGGTCGTAAATGGTGCTTTTTATGACAAGGGTTCTTCTGTACCACGAGAGAGAGTGTGTGTGTGTGTGTACGTTTGTGTGTGTGTGTGTGTGTGTGTGTGTGTGTGTGTGTGTTTGTGTGTGTGCGCGTGTGCGTGTGTGTTTGTGCATGTCTATATCAAATCATGTAGGAGACTGCAAGAGGGTGAGGGAAGGAGGGGGGAGGGAGTGCCGGGTGGTGTTCACGTCATCTCTCCTTTGTCTCCTCGCTGTCAGGTCACTGTGATGATGGCTGGCACTGTGATATACTCGGGTGTATGGCTGTATGGTTGTGTGTGTGTGTGTGTGTGTGTGTGATGAAATTATAACATGAATCTGTCCTTGTGTACGTCAATATATACAGAAGTACCTATCACTGCATGTGGCTACAGATGTGTGGTTTGTGTACATCATAATTACGTGTCTGTTAGTGCGTTTGTACTCTCTGATCACTCCATTAAGCGACCAACTTGTAGCTTGCGTCACAACTCTCATATGATACAACTTAGTGGGAATTACACCCCGACCCTCTCAACGGCTCGGCCAACACCACCAGCAGCAGAACCCCTCAAATCACACCTCTCTCTCTCTCTCTCTCTCTCTCTCTCTCTCACCCCGAGCGCTAAAAGCCCCTCATTACGACCCCAGCCACAGTCACAAATCAATCCCCGTTCCCAGAAACCTTTCAAACAATATCAAATTCATGGCAAAACAGTCACGAGAGAGAAGACAGAGAAGAGAGAGGAGAGAAGAGAGAAGAGAGAGAGAAGAGTGTGTGTGTGTGTGTGTGTGCGTGGACCTCTCCTTTCATTCATGAATTCAGCCGGCAGAGTCGTTGGGGTTATGCCTCTCCTCCGGCGGCGCGCACGACCCCGTTACCACCACCCTCCCGACGCCCTCCCCCCTCCCCCTCAACGTCGGCAGGCACAGTTGCAACGTGTGTCGGTCGGCCTGCAACGAATGATTCCCCAATGAGTCATAGTGTGTGGTGGGATGACGTCACCACAGGCCTGAGCTAACGTTGGTCGAGGCCTGAGGTAGAGGGAGACGCTGCTCGGCCGTAGGGGGCAGAGTAATAAAATTTATGGCCACGATTCACGTCCCACATTTGGTTCAAATTTACGAGTACCCATTACCAGACGCTACAGAGGAGCTGGCTCGCCTGCCCACGGCTCACTCCAGTGCCGATTTTCACAGTGGAAGGGTGCAGTGTGTTGCAAGGAGCGGTGGAGGCCGCAGTGGTGGTGGTGGAGGCGCGCGCCTGGTGGAGTTATACGGGCGGAGGAGAACACACAGTGTGTGGAGACTTGGTGGAAGAGGAAGAGAGTTGTGTATAGTGTGCAGGGCGATCAATGGTTGCGTGGTGGGGGTTCCAACATCCCCTCCCCTCTAGCCAGGTCTCACCCCACACCCCTCCTCTCCTCTCCCTTTCTCCTCCCTTCCCCCCCCCCTCCCCTCCACGGACCATCCACACCCTCCACACCCCTCCTCCGTCCTCCGCCTCCCGCCACGCATAACGGTCCCTGAGTTCCGACTGTCCATGTCTGATTTTCCATTCTAAATCGCTCTTGAAACCATCTATCAGTCAGTCAGCCACCCTAGTGTCTCATGCCACATATAAAATCAAATAATATCTAATCACACATGAGTAAATGGTGTCAAAATTCAACAAAATCCAACGTGAAAGCGATCGAAAGAGTGAGGTTTTCAAAATGGCGGAGCTCGGCTGCCGTGGATGGCGCTAGCTAAGAGGGATTCTCTCGCGTACCGTCGACAGCAGGAATATGGATCTTTCCGTCGAGTTGTGTGCTTCTGCGGCTGTTTATTTACAGGTACGTATCATAAACTACGAGGAAATCCCACCAAATAAAGCCAGGGACGCCTCGGAATGATAGAAAATAGGACGAGAATACAGACGACGGTGGGAGGGAAGGTTAAGCGGGCTGAAGCGCTGGTGGGAGAGAGGAAGAGAGAGAGAGAGAGAGAGAGAGGAAGTATGCGCAGGAACTGGTGTTTGTTTCTCTCTCTCTCTCTCTCTCTCTCTTTACGTTTAGGAGGTCGCTAGGAAGGCCTCTCCCCCCCTCTCTCTCTCTCACCTTCCTTTCTTTATATCTCTCCCCTCTATCTTTTTATGTTCCCCCACCTTCCTCCTCTCTTTCCGTTCCTGTCGCTTTACCCATTTCTCTCAATTTGCCTTTGTCTCTCTCTTACATTCGCACTCCCTTTCTCTCTTTTTATTTAATCTCTCTCTCTCTCTATCTCTCGCTGTCTCTCTTTCTCTCTCTCTCTCTCTTTTTCCGTCGACAGGAGGAATAGAGCGAGAAGATACTGCGTTATTGATGAGCCCGACAAGCTCGACTGACGTTTGTTTGGTACAGAATCACCAAGTGAGCGGAAAGCCGATAAAAGCCTCTGTCTGTTTATGTGTTTGTATTTGTTTATGGGTTTGTGTATGTTTGTGTATGTTTATGTATGTATGTTTGTATGAGTAAATATTATAGTGTGTGTATGTAGCGGAGACTGACATGTTACAAAGCCTTATGTATATGTGTGTGTATTTAACAAAGTATGCATGTAGTGTAAACTAGTAAAGAACAAAGCCTGTATCTGGTTATGTCTTTGTGCATGCTTGTGTTGTATGTGCATGTATGTGTCTATGCAGCATCGACCGGTAAAGAACAAAGATTTTTTTTTCTCCTCATATATTTGCGTTTGTGTATGTTGTGTGTGTGTGTGTGTATGTCCGTGTATGCAACAGCGACTGGGCAACAACAACGCCTCTCTGCTGATGTGTTTGTGTGTATACGTAATTTTCCTCGTATATATATTATGTATGTTTAGTTATATATGTACAGCATAATCTCAGCAACAGCAAAGCCTCTGTATGTGTGTAAGTGTTTGCGGTGAGCGAGTTGTTTGTGTGTAAATTTATGCAAGTGTTTCTGTGTGTCAAAGTGTTTATCGTTTTGTGATATTATGCGTCTGGGAACAAATATACATATATGTATAGTGTCCGATAACACATGAATAATGTATATATATATGAGTATTCGTACATGTGTGTGTGTGTGTGTGTGTGTGTGTGTAATCCGCCTCAGCAACAACAATAAAACTAGACTAAAAAAGAAAACGGATGGGATGAACGTTTATACGGTGCATACATCTGGGCGTCCCACGAGTACTGTTGTTTACATATCACGGTCCAGAGTCAATAGGGGGTCCTAAGGGGAGGGGAGGCAAGAGGGTTTAAGAAATATTTAAAAAAAAATATAAGGAGGAGAGAGATAGGTCTTTTGTGTACAAGGGCCACACATAAAAGCTGTTTTATTGGGATTTTGTTTCATATGAACAACTCTTAAAAGAATGATTTTTTTGATATCTGGATTTTAGAGTCAGAAAAAATTACCTGTGTTAATGACGTTTAATTTAGCTTTCACGGTAGTGTAACTATTGTCAATATAGCGAAGGTTAAAATAATTTTCAGTTTTAGTTATATTATTTTTTTACTTTTATCTCTTCCTTTTTTATTGTCTTATTTGTTATCTTTGTTGATGATTATCGTTATTGTTATTATTATTATTATTATTATTATTATTATTATTATTATTATTATTGGCTTCCTTATCATGATTGCACAATTATTACTAGTGTTAATGTACTGTATTCACTGCAGTTCTTCTCTCCTATTTTATCTTCTGATTTAACTGTTATTAATGTTATTGTTCTAAGTACTAATATTCGTGTTATCTTTATTATTATTATTATTATTATTATTATTATTATTATTATTATTATTATTATTTTCATTATTATTATTATTATTTATTTTTTTATTATTCTTTTTATTATTATTATTATTTTTATTACTTTTATTATTTTTATTTTTATTTTTATTTCTATTATTATCATTATCACAACCTGCACTCTGTTTCTGGTAACTATCACCAACTTCCATCATGATTGTCGTTGGCTTGATAATGACCTAAAATTGTCGACAAATACATGATAATCTTCCCGGAATAATATCCCCGCTATTACCACTAAATTGCTTGTAATTATTATCATATTCATACATAAGATATCACAAGCGTGTTATCTGTTTAAGTAATTTGGGGAATTATATTAAGTAAAAAACGATTACCTGGAGGACAGTGTTGGGGCGAGTGTCGTGCTTGGGTGATTGGCAGCAGTAGGAGAGAGAGAGAGAGAGAGAGAGAGTCGTCGTTGGGTGGCTGGTATAAGGATGAAAAAGAGAAAAAGAAAGAAAGAGAAAAAGAGAGCGATAAAGAGAGAAAGAAAAATAAAAGAGAGAGAGAGAGAGAGTCGTGCTTGTGTGGCTGATAGGAGAGCAGTACAGTATAGAGAGGGAGAGGAGGAGACAGTTGTGGTTGGATGGTTGGCTTTGACTGTATAATTTGCCTCGTAAGCATCATTTCGCTTTTAGGTCAAGTTCATCTCGATCATTAGTCAGCATCTCTTGTGTGTGTGTGTGTGTGTGTGTGTGTGTGTGTGTGTTTGTGTGAGTGTGTGTACGTTCCTTGGTGCACTCACCCAACACGCTCACTCACTCTGCAATAAACCACAACCAGTGAAACATATTCCTCCGTTACTGTCATAGTCAGAGGATATATATCACGAGGTATACATCACCCTCATCACAAGCCGGATATGTCTCGCTAAGTGGGATATATATATATATATATATGTTTGTGCGATAAATATGTTTTCGCGTATCAAGTAGATATATAATGTAGCAATGATGGGAGTGAAACAAATAAAATAATATTACCAATTTTACATTGCTTCATAAGTACAATGACCAATTATGAAATATTTCAGAAATGCACGAACCAATTTCATAATGTTTCAAAAAATATAATAATTAATTTTACACTGTTGTATTAATTCTGCACAATAACCAATTTTGCAGTGTTGAAGTGATGTAACTGTACAGCAACTCATCCATTACAGTAATACAGTAGGTCAGTGACTACAGTAAAGGCTTTTGAGGTGATACAGCGACAAAGTTTATATCATACACGATACATAATGATTAATATATTTTCCTACAATGATCAGTGAGTGAGGGTCGTATTATATAATGACTTTACCTGGCAACACTGGCGTTTTTGATGATATTTACTGTACATTAATAATATTCTAATAAGCTAGAAACCATTGAGGAATTTATTTTTTACATTTCTCCTCCTTATTCCTATTCTTCTTCATATTTGTTATCATCTTCATTATATATTTCGTATTCGTCTCCCTATCATAATTATCATTAATATTGTGTTCATTTTCGTTATATTCATCTATTTATTTTTCTTCTGCTCCTCCTCATTTTTATCTTCTTAACCTTCTTCCTCCCCTTCTTTTGCTTTCCAATTTAATTCAATGTAATTATAATATGATTTTGGACTTCTGTACAATCTTTATGCTGAAGCTTAGGAGTGATACGTCCTCCCATCTCTATATACAAGACAAAAAAAAAACAGGATTTTTTGGAGAATTCACGTCCAGGACTAAAGACAAATGATCTTTAACAATAAGTCTATTTATTAACTGGGTAATATTATGCTTTTTTTTCGAAGACAGTCACTGATTTTAACTTGAAAAAGTTTATTTAGTCAGATTAATACAGATATAAAGACAGTATTTGGTAACTTTTGTAACTGGCTTATATAAATAAAATGAAAATATCAACTTTGACAAATACATTTTTACTGTGTATGATTCTAGTATGCAAAAATTCTATGTTTCTCAATTTTTGAAAAATATAAATAAAATAGTTTGGGGATAAATATTAATAATTAAGATTCATAATTAAGTCATGTGTGTAATAATAAATGATATGATAAATGGTTTTTGAATAAGTATGAATATTACAAGGAATATGTGTGTCGTGTTTCACGTTCAACATCCAGAGTTAAAATAGTACGATGTTTTTTCTTCTGCAACATCCATAGAAAAAAATCCAACGATACTTATAATATCAACTCTTTTTTTTACACTGGTTATTCCTTCTCACAAAACAATGCATACAATTTCTTTTAAACTCGACACATCTTAAACATATTATCAAAGTTACACCGTCATTGTGTTGGTGCAGTAACTTATATATGATTTAACAGTTCACCTTGACAACAGGTTCTGTAAATTGAAGATAATTGAAGATTTCTCGGTAAATTTCCCGACTGTGGTGGTGGATACCTTTACTGTCTAATTTACAAGTTTACACAGACACAGTCTCTCGGGTAAATTATTATTATTTTTAATTTATTCCATATTTAGGGTATCTGGCTTTGTGGAAGATACAGTAATCATCAATCCAACATGAAACTGAATATATGTGTATGTTTGTGTATATGTATGTATGTTCTCGTGGTATGTATGTAAGTATAGGTATATATTCTCTCTCTAATAACAAATTCAATCAAAACAAACTTAAGGAATGATAGCTGAACGTCGGCTCAAGGTCATTATCAATTTTGTCATCTACCCCTTCACAATGTATAAAGTAAAATAAATAAATGAAAAAAAAAACATTAAAAAAACAATGCAATAATTTTCCTATTTTATCTACGGTACAACCAAATCTATAACCACAACCCCACCCTCCTGTACCTCCTACTATAACCTTACAACAACCTCTACCTTCCTTCATTCCCTTTATCCTCTCCTTCCACACACAATAAAAACATTAGTTCCATTTACCGTCAACCATTAAACCGTACGTACTTAAAACATCTCAATACTGTCCTGAGTGACCCTGTGTGTGTGTGTGTGTGTGTGTGTGAGTGACATTCCTGACAGCTTCCCTTGAGTAACA